GATGAGAGAAATGAGCAAGGACACGGACACAATTTTGGTGATGATACTGAAAGTGTGGTCAATTCTTTAACATTCTCAAACAGCTCTTCGGGGAGAGCCTGTTAATAGTGCTCCTATTTTTCAAGGTGTCTCGAGGATATCCCTGGAGTTACTGCTTAATGGATAGGTTCCATGATTTACTCACATAGTTTTCCTATTTCATTAAAAGGCTTATCATTTAATGCTTCTTCTATAAGGGAAGACATTTTAAAAAACACACACACACCAATAAGTAACAGCATCTAAGGAAAAGGTGAGCTGGAATTCATTTATGCTTTCCAGTCCTTAGTCAAATCTTAACCTTGACGCCATCGCAAGGCAGTGCACATTCAGAACTAAGAAACAGTAATAAAGCTGTAATCTTTATTACTTTCTGAAATCTTAGTCTTTTAATTAAGTCCCCAAATTGTTCAGTTTGAACAGAACATGAGGTAGACTGACACAAGCTTTCTGCTGCATGTGCAGAACCAAAAAGCTAAGCTTTCAGGATTTTCATTTCTTTTGGCAGATCCGCTGGGGAACTCTGCCCATGGGTATTACTGTCATTTTTATGTAAGATGAACTAGCATATAATGTTGGACACTGGAGACTATTTTCCAGGGTGAAGGTCATATTTTGATGTCTTTTTAGTATTAAAGATCCATGCATCGGAGAGAGAAAGATGGAGAAGGAGTTATATATGTATATCTATATTTATATATCTATATCTATTTCTATATATAATCTTATTGGGAACTAGACATAAATGCATATGCACAGGTACAATGGCTACAACTATGTACCTGGATGAGAAGCACTACGAAGTTTAGAAACACTACAAGGCAAAATGTGCTATGTGTCACTGCTTCATAGGGGTCAGCTGATAATACATTATTCAGATGTGATATAACTTAGGTGAATGTGGCCTTAGTACTGCATTTTCCCAAGAGAAGTAATTTGCACCTACTCTATCATTATTTTTCTTTGAGATTCAGCAATTAACTCTAGGATTCCCCAAAATGATGATGATTCTTATGTGAAAACAATTTGACAAAAAAAAAAAATAGGATGCAAGAGAAGAGATTTTTACAGGAGAGAGAGCCATCATTATTGGACCATCTTAAAGGAAACTTTAAAAGCAAATGGAAATATCAAAGCGAATAGAAGAAAGAAAGGTGGGGGTGATGCTGTTAGGGGGATGAAAGGAAGAAAGAAGGGCGCATAATTTTGTTTTGCTCTGGGTCCTAAACACATAAGAAAACCTTCCTGGCAAGTCCAGAACTGCACGGCAATGGGTGTTACACCTTCTCTAATGTGCCAGCATTTAAAGCTGATGGGAGAGGGTGTGCCCTTCAAATGGGCACTGGAGAACATTCTGATTTCTTTTCAAGTCACATTTGTGAGCTGTATAGAGATACTATTAAAAAAAAAAAAAACATACGTGCCAGGTAGATTTAAGACTAACAGCAAGTCCCCAGTGTCTCTTTTTGTGCCTCCTAGAAGCAAAGGGGCCAACCTGAATGCAAACGAGGGACTCCTTAGAAAGCTGTGGCCTGGGAGTATTTGTTGGGAAACAGAGGGAGGGCCTTTGGCTTGATGAAAACAGGCATTCCATGTTGATAAGAGAAATAAAATGAATAACTACAGGACTTGCTGCAGCTAAGCTGAGTTACACTTAAAGACTTCCTAAGATTTCCAGCCAATAACGCAATGTAGGAATTTTTCCCCCCCAGCTAAAGGCTATGTCTATGCCATACCTGGAAAGGAAATTTCAAGTTGTTTTCTTTTCTCTTTTTCTCCGAAGACAACATTTTTCCAATTTTCGAGTACTCAAGGGATACCATTTTCTGCCTGGACTTCATTTCTGTTAACTTTATTAACTCTCATAAAGTGGGCTGAGATTGCTTTAGCCATTCACTTCTCTGTAAAAATTCCATTGCCATGTATCATGTCTAGCATCCTTTGTTAAATGTATTAGCACCAAAGTGTCGACACCGGGCTCAGAGGACAGGAGGCAAGCATTGGGTCTGCAGTGCCCATCAGGGAAGTTCAGATCTGTCCCTTGGAGACTGGTGTAGAGGCCAATTCAGATTTTCTAACAGCAATCTGGAGGCTTAAAAGCCCCTCTAAGCCTCATCTGGATCTATTTTTCCAAAAGTAACACAGGTCTTTCTTTGGTGTTTTACTAGATGTGGCTTTTCATTCTGAGCATAAGCAGGCGGTCTGTGCCCTGTGGAAGCTTCCTAGAAAAACTGCACTGCAGCAGCCACGCAGCTGTTCAAAGGCAGACTGGAAAGGTCTGGATCCTTTTTCAAGGCACTTCAGAGAAGGACGAGCCTACTTCCTTGGTGCTTCTACCACAGGTGAGGTGCAGTCAGGGGGTGCACACTCTTCAGTCTGTGTCTCATGGGAAGGTTCAGCTTGGTTTGTTGTTTCACTGTGTTTGCCCCCACAGGAATGAGAAGTGGGGACACTGTCAGTCTCAAATATGAATTTGAGGATTCCCAAAGTTCTGGACTGTGCTGCACACTCAGCATGGTAGTGATAATTGAGTTTCCATGAAATTAAACCATTCACATCCTGCTGGGAGGAGACCATCCTGGCAACAACCAAACTTTTTCAAAACAAAGTTCCCTAATACTCACAATATTGTTCTGGTAGCACTCTGGCTATCCTGGTTTTTGTGCACCATACAAGTATAGTTTATGTAAATTCAAAGCAAGCATTTGCCTGAAAAAAATCAGAGTTGCTGGAGAGTAGGCTAGATTTAGGACATAGTTGGAGAATCAGGGCAGGACTTCATGGCCAGCCAGGTGATCTTCATGTTCCTGACTGATCATTGATTCATGGATCATAAACATCACAAACAATTTTTTTCTTCCTTCAATGAAGTAGATATTGTTCACATGGGCACTATACATTCTAAGTTTCCATGTTGCTTTGGTCTGAGTAGATACTGCCCTGCTCACAAATTTTCAGTTTCAGAATGCTTTTACAAAACACATTTGTGTTCCTTCAAACAGAAACATTTGCACACTAACAAAATGCTAAGTGGGGAGCTTTCTTCGCATGTTGTTGGAAAAATATACCGGATGGGATTTTAGAAAATTAATTTACCAAGGTTTGCCATGCAGAATAAGATCAGGGAGTGGAACCAAGAAGTTGTTGTGAAAACTTGCCCTAAATCCATTCTAGTGCAACTTATAACAAAAGCACTGATGCTCTGCTTGCTTTCTGGCTGCTTCTTCCCTATGCCATTATCTTTAAATATACAAAATCCTATCAAAATAAAAGCAAACCTGATCTTATTATTGCAAGATGAACAGCAGGACTTTAAATAAGAACAAGAAAACAACTGGTCTAAAATCTATTGGTTTGGGGAAACAACTGAAGATTGATAAGAAAATTTCAGCCTCACAGGGACATATGAAATAATTTTCGTATCACATAATGCTGAATGGACTCTAAGCTAACTCAATGTTTTCAATATAAGAAATCAGAAACTTAAAAGTACACTTTGGCCTCACTTCTCAGTGGAGCTAACCAAAGGTGATATGACACTTGAACTCTGAGTTATCATTCTTGCTTTTTTAAATTTAGCCAATCATAGTGGAGTAAGAGATGAGTAGTTGATATTTCAGAATCATATGCTTTGAGCCAGCCAGGATGGTTCACTCAATTCATGCGCTATCAGGCCATGTAATATTTTCCTCTCACTCAGCATAACAGGACACTGAGCCAGCCACTGTACATTTTAGGCAATATCACACTCTAGGAAGAAATGTCTATCCATTGGGGTTAAAATTGACCACAATTCCCTTTATAACTGCTTTACTTGTTACTCTCTGCTTTGAAACCCTTGATTCTGTGGTCACTCTTGACCTTCTTTTACTTTGCTTCTCTGCTACCCTCCCTGTTCCTATTAAGCCATGTTAGAGAAATTCTCCTTGTGAAGCTCTTTGTACATTACCATAAGATTATCAGATGCAAAACAGATGTCAACAATTGGAAAAGGTAATGTACAAGAAAACTACGTGCTCAGTATTCGTTCAGGCAATGGAGTTTTGTGTGCTCGTTTCTGTCAAGAAGTACCAAGACTGCAACATAAGAATAGTCTCCAAATGAAAACTGTCCCTGCGTTGGAGTTCAGTTTGACTCTACAAAAGATTAAATAAGGCTCTGGACTTTTTACCAATGAAATTTTGCACATAATGCTTCCTTGAATCAAATATTTAAGATTGCCAACTGGCCATTTGTGAGACAGAAATAATACCCACAATGTGGAAAGCTGTGCAAAAAGCCTTTTAGTTCTCTCCAACCCATCATCCATTCTGATTTTATAGAGAAGAGATTGTAGTGGAAACCAGAAGGAAACAGACATGCGTGAAAATGTTCAATAGTGTGACCATATCCTTCCTTGCTTAACTGGATTCAGAACTGCATTTTCTATTTATGATTGTAAATATCTTCATAGGAAATGCCAAAATAAAATTTAAAAACATACATGTTCAATTTTTATATCAACCTAGGCAGCTCTCCACCATGGTAATAAATTTACAAATTTTCTGATTTTTACATACATAATTTTTAGTTAGGGGCATCCATGATAACTATAATCTACTTGTGTCAGAAATCCTTCAAATAATAAATATTATGCTTTTTCTGAGAGAAAGTTTGATTTTATTAAAGGAAACAGTATTAGAGGTCAATCCTACTTTTATACATTTCTAAAGAAAAGACCTGAAGCCACAATGCAATAATCAAATCAGTCTGGATGATGTCCAACACAACAAAATTCAAGAACATAGAATCCAAATCACCTCTTCAGTTTACTTCATGAGATTTGACCTGAATTTTTAGTCTCTTTAAATCACAACAAAATACATTCATCAAGGTACCTTTAATCTTTCCAGTTAACCTCCCTGCTGACCCCATTTAACAGGAAAATAAATGCAAACATCATAAAAAGCTAGATCACTTACCATAAATGCCTGTTGAAATGCAGGGAAATGCCTGTGAATAAACCACAAAAAATAACAATAAATTTTAAAGGAATGATTCTGTCTGGTATCATCTATGTTGACATTTATTTTGCTTGACAAGAAATATCCTCTATTTACATACTTGGAGCTAGAAGTTGGAGTAGGAGACACTGGAAATGGAGACATTTGATTAACTGAAAATGTTCTTTACCTGTTTCTCTAACAGCAGTTAAGAACCAACTAACTGCCCAATCACTACATCTACGAGGAGATATCTGTTGAGCAGTAATAGTAACAAGTTATGTTAACCTGTGATGAGGTCGATTCTATCAAAGCAGAAAACCTGAGGTCAGACCTGCACACTTCTTACTTCGCCATATTTTCGTACTATAAATCTTCCTTTTGTGTTTATTTATGTTTATTGCTCATACAGACTGATATCCAGTCCATGCTACATGAGGCTATACCGGTGGTTTGATGTCGGGAAATATCAATCAGCATGCATGATGTATGTCATGGGTGGCTGAAGCTACAGCTAGGCTACCAATGCAGCATGTCTGTACAGTTCAACATCAGCACTGCATAAGCATAAACTGGCCACTTATAATAAGGGATAGCATATATTTTAAATTGTGCGTTATGTCAATAAAATTTCTGATAAATAAAATTCGTACTTTTGAGGGCTAGTTTTAAAATATCCACTGCTTATATTTATACCACATTTTACTTAGCAATATTCACAGAATTTGACTGAAACGATGCATGAAAAATAAAAATATATATTTTAAATTAAGCTTTGTCACTGTAGAAAGTATGTGGCAATGACCCCTGCCAATATACTCCTCTGTAAATTCACTAAAGTTACTTCATGTAATTTTCCTGGTTTATCCATTTTTCAATTGCAAATAACCATGATAATGTCTACCATACAGGAAGGAATATTGTGGGAGAATTAACAGTACAGCTTTCTTCAAAAGGGACTGACATTGTGTTACAACATGAAAACTATCGCTGCTGTAAACCGTATTAACTAATATCAGTAATAATGGAATGTCAGTCCTTTCCTTTTAGATCATTGGGTTAAATGGGCGCTGCATCTCATTCCACAGCACTTTCACAGATTATATGTTTATTCGCTCTTACATGATGTTCTATTTAAATGATCCAAATTTATGTGATTTTGTTTTATAGACAGTAATAATTGACTCTGTTAAGCTCAATCATATATTTGCAAAGTGACAAATGCTTTTCCTCTGCTCCTGGGGAAACATTTACTCGTAAGTGCTACTATTTATTTATCTATGTATTTATATAAAGAGGATAGCTTCTAGAACATAGAAGACACTAGTTTGTGATTTAAAAAAATGAGTTAATTCTTTGATTACCAGGGTTCTTAAGATACCATTAAGATAGTAAGGATTTATTTGTTTTTATTGCAAAGTCAGATACACAGAGAGGAGGAGACAGAGAGGAAGATCTTCCGTCTGATGATTCACTCCCCAAGTGACCACACGGGTGCAGGGTCCCAAGGCTCTGAGCCGACCTCGATGGCCCTCCCAGGCCACAAGCAGGGAGCTGGATGGGAAGTGAGGCTGCCATGATTAGAACCAGCACCCACACCCATGTGGGCATGCTCAAGGTAAGGACTTTAGCCACTAGGCCACTGCACCAGGCCCCAGATACCACCAAGATTTAAATAATGTTCTTGAACCCTTCAATTCATTCAATGATGAGAACAAGCAACACTTCAAATCAAATTGTCCTGAACATATTTCATTGCTTTATGAGCGTTCCCTGACTACCAGTACGTGGGGATCTCAGTATGAAAATCAACCGCAAGCACACTGTAAGCAGTTTGTCTCTAACAGTAGAGAGCTGGGGTTTAGGAATGAGCTACAGACAAGAGAGGATCCAAGATCAGTCCTATGATTTGTGTAATGTCAAATGAGTCCCATTGTGCCTTCTAAGCTAGAAGGGGAGAGATGGATTTATGGCTTGAGATCCATGGGAGCATCATCCAGCTCAGCGTTAGAGATAAAGTTTGAGAACATCAAGGTGCAAAGCAGGCAAAATCCCCCCTATTGCCTAATGGGCTTTCAGCTGGAATTGAGCATGAACTTAACAAAAACCAATCAAGAGAACTAGAAATTTCTATAATGCAAATTTTATGTGGCATTGGAGTTCTCGTAAGGAAACAGAGGCCCAAACAGGTGGTTAGAGTTGAACATCCATACACGAAGTTGGACAAAGATAGTAAATTGTATAAGTACCAGAAGCAAAAGGGTTTGGCTAAGGTGGATAATGCAGAGAAGCGGTTAGGAAGACATGCGATAGCTGAAGATTTACTTGTACAGTTTTGTCTTAGACTCGGTTTCTCATCCTTGAAGATTATTTCTCTTCTGAAAGATGGAGGGCAGATTTCACAGAGAAATCTCCTCTCTGACTTCTGAGAAGGAGGGCAAGAATATTCTTGAAAAAACTGCATTTTTCGCAATGTCTTTAGCCCAAAATAATCAGAGTTGTGTATTTCAGGGTGGTGTGTTCTTAACTTCATCAGGGGAAACTGCAGGGTTTTGAAAAAGCAGCTCTGCGCTGACTGCTGCCCAGGTGTCCTTCAAAAATCGAGCAATTTGCTTTGCTGTTCTGAGAATGCTTCCTCACTAGCAGCTGAACAATGAGACTTGCCTCAAAGCATCAGAGGCAGAAGGAACACAGGCCGTATTCTGAGAGCCAGTTGCCTTCCAGCAGGGCTTTCCAATGGCAGGACTTCAGATTTTGGGGATCAGGTCATTCTTTCTCCTTGGGGACTGTCCTGGGCATTCTAGCATATCTAGCAACAACCCTGAACACTACCTGCCAGATATCAATTGTATCCTCCTAATAGTGACAAGCAAAAATACTTACAGATGTTGCTGAGCATCATATAGGGAGAATCTCTCCCCTCGTTGAGGACCACTACCTCGAAAGTCCAGGGCCTAATGGTGCAAGCAGACAGCCTTCAACCATCAACTTCAGAATCACTTCATGCGCAACTGCTCAGCTACCTTACTCAGGATACTGTCCCTTCCTAGAAGATGCCATCCAAATAACTGATGAAGCAAGTGAGAGCGAGGTTGGGTCCATCCTGGCTCAATCAGTGCAACACTGAAGGGCAACTGCACCTACCAAGCCCTCAGCCTGCACCTTCGCCTCCTCCCCCACAGGTTGACTCCTATGGTGTTCTACAGACATCCAACACCCTGGATTCTATCTCTGAGTTCACTTTCTGGGGAACTGAACTGATTTCCTTCTGCTTCCCTGAGTTGCAGCCACATGACTTGTTATGCCATCAGATCTAGTGGTAGAAAGAACACCAGGGAGGGTGAGCGCTAAGTTTCATTCACCTCTGCTCTCACTTCTAGCTTAGGAATCAATCATGCGGCTCAGTAATTGAGTCTGAATGTACCAATTGCCTTGTCTGTTTTAACAAGGACAAATAGCTTCATCTGAAAATGACATTGTTGCCTAGACTGTGAAGGCAAATGGTAATGTAATGGAGGATGGCTTTGGTAATATTATTACATTAACTTAAACAAAAAGTCAACGATTAAAAAAGAGATGGAAATACAATATGATGAAAACATTCATTTTCTATAAAATAGCTTTCCATATAACTCATCTAAACTAAGCTTCCTCCATTAATCACTTTGTATTGCTTAAGGGAGAAGGAGACGGGGAGGAAGGGAGAGCAAGTAAGCTCAACTAAGGATCTTTTTTTAATGTGTTGCTTGTTCTTGGCTGTAATAAATATCTGATGGGGTCACCAATGTGAGTGGCATGAGATCTACTGATTTCAAAGTTAGATTCCAGAAAACTACTTTGCTCAGAAAACTTCTCCCATGGAAGAATGACTAGTTGGCATCAAAATGTAGTCCAATTATCTTGGTTTGTTTGAAAGACACGTTAACTCAGCCATCACCTGTCATCCACAGAACTCATGGAATGGCACCCGTGGCTCATTTGTTAGGTTCCAGGGTCTCTTTCCAGCAAACTCTGAGAGCAAGATGTATTTGTTAATCAGACCTGAGCGGGGAGCGATCAGAAACTTGTTTCACAACATTTGACTTTAATGTTTTCTTTCCCACCCGCCCCTCCCCCACAAACCAGCATACACTTGTTCACTAGGGAGAAAAAAAAATGTAATCACTGGACCATAAACTGAAAAAATACTTCTGCTTTCAGGTACATTAAAAACAAACAAAAAAGGGCCTGGTACAATAGCATGGTGGTTAAAGTCCTCGCCTTGCATGCCCAGGATCCCATAAAGTCGCCGGTTCCTATCCTGGTGGCCCTGTTTCTCATCCAGCTCCCTGCTTGTGGCCCAGGAAAGCAGTCGAGGAGAGTTCAAAGCCTTGGGACCCTATACCCACATAGGAGACCCGGAAGAACTTCTGGCTCCTAGCTTTGGATTGGCTCAGCTTCAGCCATTGTAGTCACTTGGGGAGTGAACCATCGGATGGAAGATCTTCCTCTCTGTCTCTCCTCCTCTATATCTGCCTTTCAATAGAAATAAATAAATCTTAAAAAAAAAAAAAACAAGAAGCATACACTTGAAATCCTTAAGGTTATCATTCTTTCCCATCCCCTGAAAGTCTGGCTTTAAATTTGCTCTCCTTGACTTAATAATCTGAGAGTAAGGAAGGAAAACTCAATCTGCTCTATTTTGATCTTAACAATGTTTTAAAATATAAGACAACAGACCCTAAGGCAGCATCATAACCACCACTTGTTTGTCTGGAACTCTGATTCTCATTTCATTCCTTCCAAGTTGGTCATGCAACTCTGGCAGGAGTTTCTGATTTGATCATCAGGTCAGTGTGAAGGCGTTGCTGCTTTAGTGTCACAATCCCCTCCCCTTACCCTCTTAGCCACAAGAACAGAACAATGACGAATTCTGATATTATGGACCCTTTGCCAAAAATTTTAACTTGGAATATTCCAATTGTTCTATCCACATGCTTCCTAATGTTTACATAGTTAGATATTCCATTA